TTACTACTACTTACTACTGCTTACTACTGCTTTCTGCTGCTTACTCCTGCTTACTACTACTTACTACTACTTACTACTACTTACTACGACTACTACGACTACTACTACTACTGCTACTACTACTACTACTACCACTACTACCACTACTACCACTACTACCACTACTACTACTACAACAACTACTACTACTATTACTACTACTAGAAGTAGTAATAGTACGCGCGGGTTCCGCACGTTATGCCCGTCTGCGTTTCGCGCATGTTGTTCTCTGCGGGTTCCGCGCGCGTCGTCGCATTCAATTTTTTTTCAAGAAATTAATATTTTACGACGGATATTACTACTACTTTTACTAATTATAATTTAATCAATTTTACGATTAGTATCTTTTCTACTACATCTGCGATAATATTACTACTCCTACTACTGCTACTGCTACTGCTACTGCTACTGCTACTGCTACTACTACTACTACTACTACTACTTCTACTTCTACTTCTACTTCTACTTCTACTTCTACTACTACTACTACTACTACTTCTACTACTACTACTACTACTACTATTACTACTACTACTACTATTACTAGAAGTATTAATAGTACGCACGCGTTTCGCGCGTCTGCGTTTTGCGCGGTTTCCGCGCGTGACGCGCATCTGCGTTTTGCGCGGTATCCGCACGTGTTGTTTTGCGCGGGTTCCGCGCGTGTAGCCGCATTCAAATTTCTTGAAGAAATTCATATTTTACGATGAAAATCACTGCTACTTCTACTAATCGTAATTTAATCAGTACTACGAAAAGTATAATTTCTACTATACATCTACTACTATTATTATTAGTACGAGAAGTAGTAGTAATACGCGCGGGTTCCGCGCGTCTGCGTTTCGCACGGGTTTCGCGCGTTATGCGCGTTTGCGTTTCGCGCGGGTTCCGCGCGTGTTGTTCTGCTCGGGTTCCACGCGCGGTGTCGCATTCAAATTTCTCTGAGAAAAAATCATATATAACGATGAACATTATTTATTACTATTTTTACTAATTATAATTTAATCAATATGACGATTAGTATCATTTCTACTGCATCTGCGATTTTATTACTACTACTACTGCTACTGCTACTGCTACTGCTACTACTACTACTACTACTATTACTACTACTACAACTACAACTACAACTACTACTACTACTGCTACTAGTACTACTACTACTACTACTACTATTAATAGTACGCGCGGGTTCCGCACGGGTTCTGCGCGCGTGGTCGCATTCAAATTTCTTGAAGAAGTTAAAATATTACGACGAATATTAATAATATTTCTACAAATTGTAATTTAATCAATATTACGGTTAGTATCATTTCTACTTTATTTACGATATTTTTTTGTATTATTACTATTACTAGTACTACTATTACTATTACTACTACTACTACTACTACTAGAAGTATTAATAGTACGCGCGGGTTCCGCGCGTCTACGTTTCGCGCGGTTTCCGCGCGTTATGCGCGTTATGCGCGTCTGCGTTTTGCGCGGGTTCCGCGCGTGTTGTTCTGCGCGGGTTCCGCGCGTGTAGCCGCATTCAAATATCTTCAAGAAATTTATATATTACGACGAATATTACTACTGTACTTGGGAACCTTTACATAATAACCTTGGGGACCTTGAGAATATTTACGTGGAAAACTTGGGAACCTTGAGGGAACCTTTACAATACAACCTTGGGAACCTTGACAACCTTTACTTGGGAAACTTGGGAATCTTGAGGGAACCTTTACAATGCAACCTCGGAAAAAGCTTGAGGAAACCTTGACAATATAACCTTGGAACCCTTGAGAACCTTTACAATGTAACCTTGGGAACCTTGAGGGAACCTTTACAATGCAACCTTGGAAAGCATGAGGAAACCTTGACAATATAACCTTGGAACCCTTGAGAACCTTTTACAATGTAACCTTGGGAACCTTGAAGGAACCTTACAATACAACCTTGGGAACCTTGGAAAACTTGGGAACCTTCAGGGAACCTTGAAGAAACCTTGAAGGAACCTTGAGGGTACCTTTTGGGAACCTTGAGGGAACCTTGACAATCTAACCTTGGGAATCTTTTAGAAACCTTTACAATGTCACCTTGGGAACCTGGACCAGGTTTACTTGGGAACCTTTACATAATAATCTTGGGAACCTTGACAACCTTTACTTGGAAAACTTGGGATCCTTGCAGGGAACCCTGAAGGAACCTTTTGGGAACCTTTTGGGAACCGTGAGGGAACCTTGAGGAACCTTGGGAACCTTGAGCGAACCTTGGGAACCTTGAGCGAACCTTGGGAACCTTGGGAACCTTGGGAACCTTTACTTGGGAACCTGGGAACCTTTACTTGGGAACCTTTACTTGGGAACCTGGGAACCCTTACTTGGGAACCTTTACTTGGGAACCTTTACTTGGAACCTGGGAACCTTGGGGGAATGGGTTTTGGAGCTGCTCCGGTCTGCTCCGAAACCTTTACTATGGCTGAAGACCCCAAAGCATTCTGCTGTTGGGGAAAAACTGGTAGCTGGTTTCAACCCTGAAAAGTATGCTCGTCATTGGGGATCATCATCCCAGTGCGAGCCCGCGCAGTCGAAATGCACATCAACATGTCACAAGAGCCACTTTCTGCGGAAATCTACAGGAAAAATGAAGCGCGTCGAAATATTGAAGCATTGGAGCATTGGTTTAAAGCCACCTCAGTTTGAAGGAACATGGATCCAAGATGCTCCAAGAATCAGGTTCTGTACATTTCTGGACCATGAATGGCCATGTTGAATCATCCCTGAGGCAAAAAGATAGGACAAAAAATGGAAAAAAGAGAGAGGAAGATAGACGAAGTCTCTGTGTCCTTTTCAGTTTTCTTACTCAACTTGAAGCAGAAACTTCATCCCAAAACATGTCTGTTACTGTGTGCATGTGGGTGTGTTGGCACCCTCTCATCACATTGCTTCAGCGGACTGATATGACAAGGTTACATGTCCTCATGAGCACCAGGTTCCCGACAATCCGTCGAAGCAAGGATTTCGAGTACCTTTCGATCTCAGATCACAGTCGATCACACACTACCAATGTCAATTTGTAGCATTCCTATCTGAAGATACCGCCGCGCCGCGCATAAGAAAAAGAAGTGGAAGAGGCAAAGATACAACAACTCGACAGAATACAAACAAAGACAACGAACCATGAGACAAAACCAACGAAATTTAAACAATAATACTCATTCTAATGCAAAAAACAATATAGAGGTGATGTTCGTCTGTCCAACCGCGGACTGTTCCGAGCTCAAGAGATGTGGAGATTTCGGAAGCATAAGTCACCATGTGTGGTCCACGGCCGGACCATACCCAAAAGATTTCACAAAAATGTTTCGAAAAGTGGGATGAAAGATGATGAAAGCCAACTGAGCCAACTTTTCCTGCCTTAGCAGGCCACACGGCAAAGGTTTCTGCCGTAGACTGCAGGGGCAACGTTCACCTCAGGTTGCAGGAATATCAATCTGGGAATGGATTTAATATAACATGATTAAACCACCCCTAACGGTCAAATCTTGTGGAATCTGTCTGTGGAATCTAGTTGCGCCAGGTTCCGGGTTGCTGGAGCGACTCGCGAAATCCAAGGGCCTGTCATCGGTGTGTTTAACTTGAAACCAATATTTCGCTCCACACCACACACCACCATTCGCGACAGGAGCCCATTCACCTTTCAGGAGTTTCCAAACCTCTTAGTGGATTGAGTCTCCATACAAGGTCAACGACTCAGCGGCGCACACAGATCACGCTCAGCGGCGCACACAGCCAAAACTCAGCCACGCACACAGATCAGACTCACCCACGCACACAGATCAGACTCACCCACGCACACAGATCAGACTCACTCACGCACACAGATCAGGCTCACCTGCGCACACAAATTTGCTGAGTCAAATTCGCGTGTATGGCTGAGTTGGTTTCGCGTGTACAGGCGAGTCAATTTCCGCGTGTATGGCTGAGCAAAATTTCGCGTGTACTGCTGAGTCACGGACCTCCATACAATATCATTTCATTGTTCGTATTTCTGCTCATATGCACGACACACACCATGCACATTACTACTCGGTGCATTTCGGCTCCCCCGGGAATGCCCAAAATAGCCTCCACAGCGAGGAACCATCGACGCCCTGCCGCATCACACAGGCATCGGCAGCACTGACTGTGGGGGTGGCGGCATCCCTGGGGTGGTGAGGGTGGAGCCCGGAGGGCCTCTGCGGAGGGCCTCTGCCACCATGGCTGCCACCCCGGGGACACCGTTGCCAGCTCCGGCATCTGGGTGGAGGGGCAGGGGAAAGGCCAAATGCGCAGGCGGGCAAGGGACGTGGTGGGAGGGTTCCGGGCAGCTTGGAAGTAAACCACTCGGGGCCGAAGCTTGGGAGAGGGCTCATTGACCCAACTTTCCCGTCTTGCACACCTGGCCAGCGATGATATAATGTGACAGGGCAATATGGTGCCAAAGTTATGATATGTTCTATAATGACTCTAATGATTGTCCAGTCAAATGCCTGTTGTCTGTTTCGGTCCGCTGACAGTAGGATATGGAGTTCAAAGGTACTTTTAGGATTTCGTAGGTAGCACTCAGTTCGTGTTTTTCTGATGTCCACCGCCTGTTATCAGCTAGAAGCATGGTACTGCGGCTCTCATAACTTACCTGTTTCGAGGGAGTCGCATGGAGTCACCACCCGGACCTTTCGGTTGGAAGGTCACCATCTTCTCAATCTCGTTCGTCAGTCCAAAGCCTTGGCTTCAAGTTTGAATGATGGGGTGGGCACGCCGGGCAGCTTGGGCAAGTTGAGCACTGCCTTACATTTTGAGCAACTCACAAGTCACTTAGAACAACAGCGAAAAAAATCACTCAAAAGGTAAAACCACGCAAAACCATGTAAAACAACTGCCCAAGCAAAGGAAACAAAAGCTGTTTGGCTGTGGGGGCTAGTCTGGGCATGGCGCACTGGTTCCCAAACAAGTAGGCCAGCACCACAATCATACCTCTCCACAACTGCAAGTCGTGTGAGTTGCTGCATGTTGCCCCAACAAGAACAAGAGCCATGTCGACAAAAAGCGCATTTTGTTCACAGCGCCTGCGCTACAGACCAGCATCCACAGGTACTCGGCCGATTTTCTTTGAAAGGCCAGATCTTCCAGCCAGGAGCAATAGTGTACCTCTGTAACATTCACGGTCTGCTCAAGATCACTTAAAGTCAAGATCTCACACACCTTTTGCAACCACCATGTCCATAAAGCAGCCCGACCCTGTTTTCCTCTTGCTGGATGCTTTTCGCGTGACGCCGCTGCATCACCTGTCACAGGGATGACGCAAAGAACGCGAAGGAGGGATGATACCAGAAAAAGAATCTAGGATTCCTAGAATTAAAGGACCGGATAACCCCACAAGTCAACTTCTCCCAATAATGAGCATCAAAGGTTGTAGCAGGGACGGGGAAGGAAAGGGAAAGGAGGCGGTGAAGGATCGAGAAGTTAAAACAGTTGTGTGTGTGACAAAGTGGAATGTGAAAGATGGTGTGTGACAAAGCAAGAAGGTATGTGAAAAGATAGTATGCATGTATGTATGTATGTATGTATGTATGTATGTATGTATGTATGTATGTATGTATGTATGTGTGTGACAAAGTTGTGTGTGAAAGATGGCATAAGAAACCACTGGATGTGAGATTGTGCCACGCCTGCCACGCAAAACGAAAGTGGATGTGAGATTGTGCCACGCCTGCCACGTGGAACCAAAGTGGATGTGAGATTGTGCCACGCCTGCCACGCAAAGTGCCGCGGCGTCACGGGCGACCAAAACCAGCCCAAGCGCGCCACCCAGTGCCATAAGTGCCACGCCTGCCACGCCTGCCACGCCTGCCACGCCTGCCACGCCTGCCACGCCTGCCATGCAAAACGAAGGTGGATGTGAGATTGTGCCAGGCCTGCCACGCAAAACGAAAGTGGGTGTGAGATTGGGCCACGCCTCCCACGTGGAACCAAAGTGGATGTGAGATTGTGCCACGCCTGCCACGCAAAGTGCCGCGGCGTCACGGGCGACCAAAACCAGCCCAAGCGCGCCACCCAGTGCCCTAAGTGCCACGCCTGCCACGCAAAACGAAGGTGGAGGTGAGATTGCGCCACGCCTGCCACACAAAACGAAAGTGGATGCGAGATTGCGCCACGCCTGCCACGTGAAACCAAAGTGGATGCGAGATTGTGCCACGCCTGCCACGCAAAGTGCCACGGCGTCACGGGCGACCAAAACCAGCCCAAGCGCGCCACCCAGTGCCCTAAGTGCCACGCCTGCCACGCAAAACGAAGGTGGATGTGAGATTGTGCCAGGCCTGCCACGCAAAACGAAAGTGGGTGTGAGATTGGGCCACGCCTCCCACGTGGAACCAAAGTGGATGTGAGATTGTGCCACGCCTGCCACGCAAAGTGCCGCGGCGTCACGGGCGACCAAAACCAGCCCAAGCGCGCCACCCAGTGCCATGAGCGCCACGCCTGCCACGCAAAACGAAGGTGGATGTGAGATTGTGTCAGGCCTGCCACGCAAAACGAAAGTGGATGTGAGATTGTGCCACGCCTGCCACGTGAAACCAAAGTGGATGCGAGATTGTGCCACGCCTGCCACGCAAAGTGCCGCGGCGTCACGGGCGACCAAAACCAGCCCAAGCGCGCCACCCAGTGCCATGAGTGCCACGCCTGCCACGCAAAACCAAGGTGGATGTGAGATTGTGCCACGCCTGCCACGCAAAACGAAGGTGGATGTGAGATTGTGCCACGCCTGCCACGTGGAACCAAAGTGGATGTGAGATTGTGCCACGCCTGCCACGCAAAGTGTAAGATGGTGCGTGACATTGTGTGTGAAAGATGGTATGTGACAAAGATGGTATGTGACAGATGGTGTGTGAAAGATGGTGTGTGAAAGATGGTGTGTCGAAAGATGGTGCGTGACAAAGCTGTGTGTGAAAGATGGTATGTGACAAAGATGATGTGTGACAAAGTTGTCTGTGAATGGTGGTATGTGACAAAGATGGTATGTGACAGATGGTGTGTGAAAGATGGTGTGTCAGAAAGTTGTATGTGAAAGATGGTATGTGACAAAGATGGGTGTGAAAGATGGTGCGTGACAAAGTTGTGTGTGAAAGATGGTATGTGACAAAGATGGTGTGTGACAAAGTTGTATGTGAATGATGGTATGTGACAAAGATGGTATGTGACAGATGGTGTGTGAAAGATGGTGTGTCGAAAGATGGTGCGTGACAAAGTTGTGTGTGAAAGATGGTATGTGACAAAGATGGTGTGTGAAAGATGGTGTGTCGAAAGATGGTGCGTGACAAAGTTGTGTGTGAAAGATGGTATGTGACAAAGATGGTGTGTGACAAAGATGGTGTGTGACAGGCGGGAGGCGGGAGGCGGGAGGCGAATCAAAAACAAAACCCCACACAAAGTTGTGGGGAAAAGAAAATTAGGGGCTCCGCAGTCCCTGGTCTTCTGGGTCCCTTGTCCTCTGGTTCTATTGGTCCTCTGGTTCTTTTGGTCCCCTGGTCGCTTGGGCTTTTGGTCTCCTGGTTTTCTTGGTCTCCTGGTCTCCTAGTCCTCTTGGTCCCCTGGTCCCTTGGTCTCCTGGTCCCTGGTTGCCTGGTCCCTTGGTCTCCTGGTCCTCTGGTCTTGTGTCCTCTGGTTGCTTTAGTCAATTGGTCGCGCTGTTTGGTTCTGCTGCACCCTTGACACACGCACAAACCAGCCACCACCAACAATATTTCAAAACCCCAACGACCCTCAATAGAGGTGACAATCAAAAATGACCAACGGAGGAGCACAGAGTAGAGGAAACAATCCAATAGCAATGAACGCTCTGCCCCAGCCGCCCTCCAGCTTTTTCAACTTTTGCTGTAATAAGTTGACCTGGGTAAGCATGGTCGTTGTACACAATACATGAAAGAATTTGGATGCATCTCTCGCTCTGGTTGCTGATTCAAGTCTTCTTTTCTGGGTATCTTCACTTTGCGGCTAGTACCATTCAAAATGAATCCACAATGCTGCAAATACCTTGCCCAGTGAATTTCCCGACTTTTACAACTACCATACAACATGACAACAAAAAGGTTTGAGTTCCAAAATGCTACAAATTCCATACAACATCAGAGTTTTTGTTTCCAAACTCCAAAATACTGCGTATACACTACAAAATTAGAGTTTCTCTTTACCAAATGCTGCATATACCATTCAAAATGAAAGGTCCGAGCTCCAAAATGCTGCAAACACCATAGAAAATGAAAGGTTGTAATTAGCTGCAAAATACAACAAATGCCCTACAACATGAGGGGTTATAGCTCGAAAATGCTGCAAATACCATGTAATATTATAGTTGCCTTTCCAAAATGCGGCAAATACCATGCAAAATGTACGGTTCTATCTGCAAATTGCTGCATAGACCATGCACAATGAGAGGTTCAAACTCCAAAACGCGGTATATACTACACAAACCTAGAGGTTCCTTAAATACTTTTTCGAGCGTCTTAGGTGTTTTTTCCCAATGTCAAAACGGGGTCTGAGTCTTAAGTTTTTTCCAATGGAATTCAATCTTTTTTCCAGGTCTACCCCGCGAAGGACAAACCCCAAACTGGCACTGATCTCCCATGCTGCCAACTGCCCCTAGCAAAAAGGCGTTTAAAAGAACAAAGGCCTTTATTCCATTTTATTCCCCTGTGCTCTACGTTTTCAAACTTTGTTCAAGACAGCCGAATGCACTTTCTTGATCTGTTCATGTTTTCGACCACAACAGAAAGCTGGGCCTCGGCGGGTCTGAATCGTGGCGATGGCGAACCACCTGAAACCTTGGACGGTCACCTCGCCGTGGAATCAGGCTGCAATTTGGCTGTAGGGATTCCAAGTGCCGCCGTTCACTCTGCACAGGGGTCCGGACAAGAGACCTGGGGTACTGCGGAAACACAGCACGATGGTTTTGGCTTTTTTTTGATCACACTCTTGCTCCGCACTTCACTCACAACATCTGTGGATGATGGCATTGGCCAAGCAAGCCACGCACGCCACCTTTCTTAAGGAATCGGGAGAATTCCTCTGCTGCAACGGGCCAATTGAGCATCAGAAGCTCTTGAAGGATGTGGGCAAAGCCAAGAAGCAGCGGGCGCCGGCGACCCTAAGCCACGGAGCTGCGCTGGCATCTCTGGCATGAAATCAATCCTTTCAACAGTCTGCTACATCCAGACTCAAAGGAAGGACCGCATATTAGGCAATCATTAATTTCAAACCTCCACGAATCGAGATTCTTGAGCTATGCTTGATGGACCTCGCAAGCAGCAAACATTGGATATTCCGGAAATTGAAAACAAGAACGGAGGTGAAAGGCAATCCTGCATGCACTTACAAGATCTGCGCAATTTGAAAAAATGCGACAACAAACTCATGGGACCAAGCCCTGCCGTGCCGCTGTGCCTTTGTTTCGGGCACCGATTCGACTCTGGCGAACGCACAGGAAGCGCATGGACAACGGACAGTCTTCCCAACTTGGCAGAGCCTTCAGCCAAGACGGTGGTATCTGGAGAACGGACGCATCTGGGAGGTTAGACGTCAAATATACACCGACACTGCGGTCAGTGGAACGTGGGGAAGCTGCCCACTGTCTCCGCCAATGGGTTTCCACCCTTCTCACTGCTGCCTGATATTTAGAGGTAAGTAAACTGATATAAGTTGGGTATAGAGCTATGTGCTGGTGGCAGCGTCCAAACGCAGGCTCTGCAAAGCTCACTGATAGGTTTGCAAAGAGAGGTTTCCTTGTGTTGCAGGCACAGATTGTAGCAGCGTAGCAGCTCTGAGGCTCGAACTACAGGGTTCGACCACAATCCCTGGTTCCAATCCCTGGTTCAGAAGCTATAGCGGCCAGAAGAGCCGTGTTCCACACGAATTTCCAGGACTATGCTGCAGTTTCTCAGATAATTTTCATGACCCAAGGCACGCTTCATGCGCAACCTAAA